CTTCGATAATGTGCTTTCATCTACTACCTGTTTTAAGCAACAGTGTCTTGCCAATGGGTTTTAGCCCCAGACAAGTTCACTATGGATTCAATGAGACCAGAAAAAATAACAGTGGAACGTTCTTGGGGTGAAAGGCTTTGTAACCAATTTATTCCCGAGGTGGCAGGTCAATCACTAGACTCCCACCCACTCAGAGCAAGTCTGCATGCAGCAAGCCGGTCTCCGCCTCTGGGTCTCTCTGCCACCGCAGCTGTCTCCGTCTCTGTCCTCGGCACTGCCACCACTGCAGCCTCTGCTCTCCTGCAGCCGAGCAGCCCAGAGCACTGGGCGCAGCTCTTTATATAGAGTCAATAACAATGTATTGCCCGCACATGTGAAGTGAGCAAGCTGACGAGGGCCAAGTGAGAATCCTGGCCATAGGAACCTTCACTTTTTCCACAAACAATCTCCAGACATGAAAGGCCAACCCACTGCTCACAACATAACTGTAACAGGTCCTTTAAAAGAGACCTTTGCTCATAAACAGGGGGGCCTTCTGGAAGCCACGGCACTTCATGCTCAGACCCATAAACCCTAGGTGTCCAGTGCTGGCTCATTTCTCCTCAGCAGAAGCAGCAAGATTTTCCTATATATCACAGGACCCTGCAGCTGGGTCTCATAGAAACTGTTAGAGTCACCCCATTCTCTGGGTTCCTCTGGGGTTGTTAAAGTTCATGCTACACGCACATGTGTGGTACAAGTTCCCACTGTCCTCTCTCCTCCACTACGGCCCAGCACAAACACCATCCTCTTGAAAAGAGACCAAGCTGGCCAACCCCACAAAGTCTACCGACTGCTGGCTGCCTTCTGCATACTGGACAACTGGAGGGGAACATTCTGCTTTAACCCACACAACAACCCTATGATGTAAATACTATGCCCAGTTTTCAGGTGAAGAAACAGGTGAGGAAGCTTAAGCAGACTGTCCACAGTCACACAGCCTGTGGTGGCTGAGACACAATCAGCCAATTCCAGCAGTCATGTGAGCCAACCAACCACTTCTTGACTAAACTAAACATCATCTTTATTCCCAGTGTTTATAGAAACTACAACAAGTGGAATTTTGGACTTAATTCCATTCTCTGTTTTTAAAGAAGCAAACCCCGACTTGTTTATAAGTCAGCCTGGGCCCACACCAGCGCAGGCCCCCATCCATGTGACCTCTCACACCTTCTCCCTTTTTGGTGGCGAGATAACCGTACACCAACCCCTCTGTCACCTTGAGAAAATATCTTCCTGTTGGTCTATAATCCCTCTGGTTCTATTTGAAAAAAGCACAACCCTAGGAAAACAAACGTGTTGATGCCTACCCAGCTTTGCAGCTGGGTCTGAAACTCGGCTCCCTTGGTTCTGAACCATACATACTTTGTTTCTAGAGGAAAAGTCACTACTTTCTAAAAGGATGAGTGGGTGTTACCTGATTATTGCATTTTAAATTATCGCCTGTGACATTTTAAAACAAGTGTCTCAGGTAACTTCTATGCTTGACACAAAAGGCCAAGAACACAAAATCTTGCAGAATCAGGTTTATGGCAGTCTTGCCACTTGTCAGGTCAAACAGACATCATTAGAAATGTGCTTATTACAGTTTCTCATAAGGGAGAAAGTAAGATATTTTGAAAATGGTTCTTCTCCCGTGGAAGTGCCCTTACCTTCTTCTGTGAAACACAGAATTTGGGACCCATTTCTGCCACTATCAACTTACCTTTGGGATCCAATCCTACCAACATTTTTCTGCAAGTCACCAGTCCTCTAGGACCCCAGGCCTTCATGTGAACCTGAGAGGATGATACACACAGCAGGAGCTCAATAAATGCCTGCTTTGTAAATGAATGGTGCTCACCTCCTGCAAACCAACGGATACACCTCCAAACTGGTGTAACGACAAATGTTTTGGTCTAAGACCTTTGGGCCAGATGTCTCTAAGGTGCCTCTCACATTCTAGAATTATCCACCCTCGAGTTTACAGCTCATTTCCTCCTCTCACTCCAAAATGTAGAGTGCAAACTAACATTCACTGGGTACTATTTGACCTCATTTACATTTTGCAACATAGTTCACTGAATTTTTTTTTCCTTGTTTTTTTTACACTCAACGAATCATCCATTTTCAGCTCTCAGGAAGCACTGAGGGACAAAAGTCTAGAAACTTCAGTTGGCTCAGACCCCAGGGTCACAGTCATCAAAAGCAGAGATGGAAGGGTGGGAAGCAAACTGTTTCCCACAGTGAAACACAGACATTGGCTGTTAGAAGCTCCTTTCGATGTTTGTTGGGTTCTTACTGTGTGCATTTGGTATTAAATGCAGGATGTGGGCAGCGTGAGGAGGGGCGAGGTGATAAAAGATAATCTGGCATCACACAGTGTCTTTCCTTAACTTCTGCATCAGAGCTGAGCTCGCTTAGAATGCCAAACTGGGGTAAACTGTCCACTTTGTTATCCAGGTTGGCCCCTGTGCATGTCCCTGCACCCAAGTCAGTGCTCCTGGGAGGGGACACGAATACTCTTTCCCTCATGAGAAAACAGGTGGCCCTTCTTTGTCATCTCTGACCCTCCCTGCTTCCTGGAGGTCACCCCAAGTTCAATTCTTTCAATTTGTAGCAGCAGAAATGGGGGTGAGGAGTGAACTATTCTGCACAGTGTGGAAGCAAAGCTCAATTCTGGCTGACTGGGAATAAAATCTCCAAGAAGGAAATGCGTTCATTCCAAGGGCCTTTCCCAACCAGAAAAGGATCAACTGGATCAATTAACTAGGAGCTCTCTAGTGCCCAGCACGGTGGCAGACTCAGCCTCAAGGATCAGTTATTTAAGTTCCCTAAGACATAAACCCCAGAGAAATCTGCTCCTCCCCCCATATGGCATTTCCTAATGAGCACTGCTTGAATGCAATCATTTCTCCCCACACATCCTTTCCTCCAATTTCAACAGAATGAAGAATTGCAGAGAACAGGCCTCATAAAGTGCTCTGTTCCTGGCCTTGCAGTGTGAGTGTTCTCCCTCACTTTCTGCCATTGTGGTGGGATCCCATAACAGCCTGACCTTAACACCTCACTATGCGGATGAAGGCTTTTTCCAGCAATACAGTCAGAAACAAAAAATTAAGAGACAACGAAGATGAGAAGGTATTCAGCTCATACCACCCCCTTTCTCTTTAAATTTATGCACACGAGGACAAAAGATTAAAAGATTAGGTCTCTTGAAGAAAAAATTTTAAAGGCCCTTTGTACAGGATCACTATCCTTTTGGGGGAACTTTCTTATTTAAATATATTAAGATTCTTAAGTTATCAGATAATCTAGATGAATATAGTGGCTTGGAAGGTCTACATCTCTTAATGCAAAGAGCTTAATGCAAAGTTCCCTAAACTTTATTTACTCAAAATTACAGGTAAAAGCTCAAAAGGTAGACAAGCGATTGGGGTTATGATTAATGTGTATGGAGGGGAACAGGCATCCAAAAAAAAATCTACAGAAAAGCTAATTATGTTGCCAGCTAGAATATTAATAACTTGCTGACTTAACTCCCCATGACAGATCTAATTAGAAGGTGGTAATAAATGTTTCTAGGTGTTTCATTAAGTGTGATAATTATTTCTTTCCTTAAAGAGAGATGGAGTCATATGTTTACATTTTGAAGCATAATGTTTCCTTAGTTTAAACACTGTGGAAACGCTTTTGTGTAACACAAGATTCAACCCAGGATAAAAATATCTGCTGTGATAAGCAGTACTTAGAGTGAGTGACTTATCAACTCTTTAACTTTCATATGCCAATGCACAATGGCAACTTAAAGGCTACTCTGTTCTGATGGCTTTTAGCCACTTGGTTTTGTTATCCTTACATTTCAATGAATATTCTACTCAACATGTCATTTCCCTACCATCACCCCTTAAATGAATTCTTATTAAAGAAGTGGGGAAATTTTATGAGTATCTACTGTCACAGCAAGAACATAGCAGGAATAAACTGACATATAGAAGAATTCAGGACCTCAGCAACCAAGGAATCACTTTATAGATAGATTTAAGTACAGCACTGTTATCAATGAATGCTATCAATTAACGTTTTTTAATGTAGAAATATGCCCTACATTAAGATAGTATTGGCCCCCAATAAGAAAAATTTACACAGGCATGGAGCCATCAGTCTTAAGTCAGTCAAGATTTTGTTTCAACACTGGGCACTCAACCACTGTCTCTTTCCTTCCATGATTCCCTCAGGGTACTTGCTCCTTTTACCATAGTGTTGTATTTTAGGAAACCAGCTGGATTTAGAAACAGGAGTCACTTAATAAACATTCTTCAGAAGCCCAAGTGTGGTTGTTCAGCCTGATCTTGAACATGCCTATCAGGCACCGTTGGTCTGAGCGTGCTCATCAGGTGTTTTGGAATGAGGTGCTGAGGGTTCCAATGTCTCTGACGCGCGCAAGGGCACACACGAGCACACACACACACACCTTTCTTCTTTAAAGGAAGTCTCCACCATCATCTCAAGACAAAACTCTAGTTCCTGCCTGGTTTACAGCGAAGGGCTGGATTACAATCTCAGGCCAGCATCTCGGTCTGCAATGTGGGGCATCCTGATAACCCTGGCGGGCAGTCCTTTAGGCAGCAAGAGCTGTGAGCACGGGGGCGCGACGCGCAGCGGAGTCCGCGTCCGCAGGAGGAACGCGCGAGGGGGCTCAGCGCAGGCGGTGCAAGTAGGTGAAGGGTCGGCTCTAGTCCGTAAGGGCTCCCAGCCCAAGGTCTCGGGTTGTCGCTGCGACGCAGGAATTGGGTGAAACTCTGGGGAGTTTCCGGGGCCGTCTACGCCTGCACACTCACTCGCACCCACTCACACCCGCTCACACCCACTCACTCCGGAACTCTCGGTGAGCGGAAAGCGCGCCCCCAGGATAGCCCGCAGCCCAGAGCCGAGGAGCCCCGCGAGGGTGTGTGTAGACTCGCGCGCCCAGAGGCACTTACTCGGAGGAAGGAGCGCGGTGCGTCGGGACACTGAGAGGCGAAGCTGGGCGATCGCACGGCGCGGAGTTCCCTAGCCGCTCAGACGCTCGCGGACTCCCGCGGACGGATCAGCCGAGCGCGGGCGGGAGCCGACGGGAGAAAAGGAGCCAGGACGCGAGGGCGGGGCGTTCTAGGAGAAGGAGCCAGGAGGGCGGGGCGGGGCCTGGAGGAGGAGCCAGGAGACGGGGGCAGGGCCGAGAGCTGAGAGCGAGCTGGGGGAGGGGCTGAGAGGTGGTGTTAAGCGGTTGGGCGGGGCTAGAGGGGAGAGGCTCGCGGGTAGGGCGGGGCTTGGGGGAGGTAGGAGGGCCCGGAGGAGCTTAGAGGAGGGGCTAAGGGGTGGGCGGGGCCTAGGGGAGTAGCTGGGAGGGCGGGGCGGAGCTCAGAGGAGGTGCAGAGCGGGCCTGGGAGGAGGAGCGGTGGCCGGCTGTACAGCGTGTGGGTAGGGAAGCGCTGAGCTGCTGGCTAGGCGCGGGAGAGGAGGAGGGGCATGTAGGAGGCCGGGGCAGGGCCGAGCGGGGAGGAGGAGCCGGGCAGCTCCGCGGACCCGCCTGAGGCCCTGGGTCGGGGGTGGTGACCCTCAGGAGAAGCCGGGAGAGCGGGGCAGCGGCCTGGGAGCTGGACCCCGACTGCGAGGCGAGATCGGGACCGGCTTGGGATACCCGCAGGCAAGATGCTACCTTTCCGGCCTCTAAGCTTTGTAGATTTAAACTTGATACCAAGCTCACTGTGCTGAGACGGTTGAATGGGCTCCTACGTGTTTACACTGTGCCTGACAGACCTAACGAGTACGCGTGGATGTTAACGTCTGTTGCCATTATTATTATTACTATCCGTACAAGCCATCCATACCACAAAGATCCATTAAGCACCTACTATATGGTGGCTTTGTGCAGAGGGCTGGCAATATTAATACTAGCAAAACAATATGTGCGGGTCACTGTACTAATCCTCACAACCTATAGATAATAGCTACCTTAAGTTTACAAAGGGAAAGGGAAACATAGTGAAGTCATACAGATGCCCAAAGTTACACATTTAGTGGCAGAGTATGGTTAGAAGAGGAACGTAGATGAAACAGACAAAACTTACAACAATTTGGGTTTAATGTCCAAAATGGGAATATACAGACTGTTCAGAGGTGTTCAGGAGAGTTCACTGTCCTTGATTATAGCTATGAGGATGGGAACTTCAGAAGCAGCTATAGGGGGAGAAAGGGCATTTTTCAAGCATTATGAAGGGTTGGGAAAGACGAAGAGTGGAGATTGGAATGATGCTAAAGCAACAGAAAAGGACCAAATCCAAATGCTTTCTTCTTACAGGAGCTTAAGAACATTAATTTCACTCTTGGTAAGTAGAAAGCCAGAAGGATTTTAAGGATGGGAGACGTACCAAATGTTCTAGAAAGTTTAATCTGAAAACAGCATAGAGAATGCCAGAGCCAGGAAACTTGCTTATGAAATTATTTAAATACGCCAGGTTGGGATACTGTGGTAGGTAATGACTCCAAGAAAAATGTCCACTCTCTAATGCCCAGAACTTGTGAATATGTTGCCGTAAGTGGAAAAGGAGACTTTGCAGATGTAAGGTTAAAGTCATTGAAATGGGGAGATTATCCTGGCTTATTTGGGTGGATCTAATCTAATAATATGAGTCCCATAAAGTGGAAGAAGAATGAGTCAGAGAGATTCAAAGTATGAAAGGAACTTACCCTGGCCCAGGAGCCAAGGAATGTGTCAGAAGCTAGCTGGTGTCCTCTAAAAGGTGGGAAATCTTCACCAACAAACAATGGGAATCGCAGTCCTGAATTCGGCTAATAACTGGAATGAGTAAGGAGATGGATTGTCACTTAGAGCCTCCAGAAGGGAACTCAGATCTGCTGACACTTTGATTTTATCCTTGGTGACACCCATACTGGACTTCTGACCTATAGAACTGTAAAATAATAAACTTGTGTTGTTTTAACCCCCTATATCTGTGGTAATTTTGGGGGGCAGTAATAGGAAACAAATACGATGCTTTGGGCCTAAACTAAGTAGGTGGAAAGATTGATTCAAGACTTTTCCAGGCCCTAGAGATTGATGGGATGTTGGGTGAGGGAAGGCCAGTCACATAGATCTATTTCCAGGGTTTCGGGACTGGCAGGCTGTCTTTGGTGGTGCCACCCAGTAGAGGGAAAGACAAAGGCAGCTAGTTTCTAAATACCTGTTGAGTCTGCAGCGATGCAACTAAATTAGAAATTAAAGGGTTTATACACTCTCAGGTCTCCCACCCCCAAATAATAAGAAACAATCCCTGAATACCTATGGGCAGTGGCATTTGTCACCACCAACTTAAGAGTTCTAGTACTGGATCTACCCTGTGTAACCTGGATGACTGGGTAAGACACAAAACCTTAATGAGACTTGGCTGCTTCTACTGTGTGAGACAGGAGGAGCCCTGTCTGCATGACTGCCAGGAAGTCATGCTGTCTGCAACCTCAACCCCAGTAAATCATTTCAGCCTCCCTTGTGCCCAGGTGCACCTTGGAGCAGCAATCCCCAGGGTCCCCCTTCTACCTTTATCTTTATAGTTAAGAGAGTCTGAAATCTTTATCTCCACCATTCCACACCCCAAGTACAGCCTCTCATACTTGGTCCCTACACTCCCCCTTTACCTCAGGCAGACTTGCACTGCATCTCTCTGTCAGCGTCCTTTCCTCGCAGGCCTAACCCCCAAGGGCCATACTTCAGTCACTCACTGCTAGAGCCTCCCATTCCTTTACCCCATTGTCCTTCCCTGTACTCACCTGGCAAATCTTTCTAGCTATCCATATTTTTCCTATGGGCTACTTAAAAGAAACCAAAAAATGTGTGGGTAAAACTGCACTATTTCCAGGATCTTTCACCTGGCCTTAGTGCATCTCCATATCAATAGGTTTTTCTAAGAGGTAGCCAGAAGTGGTCCACCTCCATATCATAGACGATTACAAGGGTGGGAGGAGTGAAGGTAACATCTGGACTGGAGAAGTTTGGTGGGGTTCTTTTTTGCAGCCAGGTCATGAGACATGGGTAAGCAGAAGTGGACAACCGCTTGTAGGTAATAAATGGGTTTCTCCCACTTTATTTCTCCCTTTAACTGATTTTGGCTTCAAAGTTAATTTGCCTCAGGACTGGGAACATATTTACCTCCCCCGACCCCTACCCCTGAGTTACAAGTGAAACTTGATTCTCTCTGGATTCATGACCTCTAAGCTCACCTAGGTCTTCATGCAGCCTGGACGTCCTCCTGCATGGATGGGAAGAGGGGCTCAATCTTTAACCCTTTCCTGGAGACATCTTTCCCATACCTCATCCTTCCTGTTATTGATATAAAATCTCATCACCTATTTCATAGGGAATATACAGATCAGTAGTTTTCTCGACTTCCTGCCCCACGTACCAAAAATACCACCTGCATCCACACTCATCATGATGTCCTTTCTTCTCATCCAAATGGATCAGAGCAGACCCATTTACCAGTTATCTGCCTACCCCTGCCCCCTGCCCCAGTACCCTCCTTTTTATCTCCAGGGACTGCATTCCATAAATATCCTTTTATCCTCAATCTCTATCTATACTTCAAAAAACATAAAAATGCTGAAATTAAAAAATATAAAATTCTCCATGGACCCTACCACTTTATCTCATCACAACCCACTTTACTAGGGTTATCTAGACCTGAGAGACAATGGGTGCTGATAGTAGAGGCAATGCAGAGTGGCTGTTTGCCTCCCTGCTTACTAGGGGTCTGGGGAAGAGGCCTTAGAATCTCAGACAAGTGGCATCACTGTCATCAAAGATTGTTAGTCTTTCTTCCCTTTAACTTTGGTAAAGACATAGGATTCCACTTTATTTCATAGTGTGATAACACGAGAAATTAACAAGGTGATTAACTTTCCTATCTTATTTATGGTAGATGACAAATGGTGGATTACAAAAATATAGTTAAGGCTGTGGTTTAAGTCCTTTTGATAAGATCTCAGACTTAAGGTGGACATGTAGACCCTTTGGTGAGACAGAATTTCTGTCACAGCAACCTCATAAGAGGCCCAAGGTAGAGAAGGGCCTGTTTTTCAGAAAAAAAGTATGGATGTGGTTTTTGTCTACTGCACTGAATAATTTAAGATATAAGAAACTCACAAGTTTTTAAAAGTAATTTTATTAGATTGAACTGTAATAGATAGGAATAGCACAAAACATAGAGAGGCCTCTGAACCCTAAAACCTCTCTGGCCAGGAAATAGGCTGAAAACACTATTCAGTTAAAAACATGGGCCACTTCCTTGGAAGGATGATTCAGAGGTAGAAAAAAAACCCAGCCCAAATGGTGGAGCCAAGAGCCGTGAAGAACTTCTTCTGGGGAGCAGGATTACTCAAGCACTGGTGACATGTGTCAGCTAAATTTCAGAATCTCTATGGACAAGTGACTACTACGTAACTCTTACTTTCCCCCTTTTAGAATGGGAGCTTCCTATCTGTCTCACCACTGTGTGTCTCATTATAGTTGACCTTGACAGCATTAGGGGTAAGGAGTGTTGACCCCTACCCCGTGCAGTCAAAAATCCAAGTATAACCAACTCCCCCAAAACTTAACTACTAATAGCCTGTTTATGATAACATAAAGTTAACAATTATTTTGTATGTTATATCTATTATATACTGTATTCTTACAAGCTAGAGAAAATTTTCAAATTGTTGCAAATCTCCCCCAAACCATAGAGTTCAAGGGTCAACTGTAGTTCACAGGTCTTTAGACTGAGAAGTACTCTATGTAAGGAACTTCATTCAAGGTGCCACAGACACACCTGGACCTGATTTATATGATGGGCTCCTGGGGCTCAAGTCTGATCCTGGTGAATAGGATGAGAATACTGGAGCTTTGAGTGATTTGCATGTCAGAGGAAAGTAGATTGAAAATCTTATTTAACAGATATCCCAGCCTGATAAATTGTACTACTTAAGTTTTGCTACATAGATGATAACTATATACTGAACAATCAGTTGTATATAAGTAAAGCATTTCCACTGGGAAAAAAGTCATGAAAACTCAAAAACAGATTTAGCTTTCAAAATAACGGAAGCAAAAAAGCTATATGCATTTCTAAAAGACAGATGGGTACATTTAAGTAATCTATGTTCAACATTTTCCAAGGACCCCAAAGGGTAACATTTTAACCGTGTTATTTAAATACTGAGCATTAAAAATACCTCAACAATTCAAAGAGGAATATTCCTGACACAAAACCACTTCACTCAACACAGCAGCTCCCAAAGTCATCGTCCTATTTGGTAAAAAAATAATTCCCCTACCCCCCGTCACCCTCCCCACATACAACTATCTTTGATATCACATTATTGAGTGGGAGTTAAAGGAGTTTGGAAAATTACTACCTCCTTCCGTGTTAAAGTTTTCTGTGTATTTTTCCATACACATTTCTATACCTCTACATACATATAAGACTGAAATAATATGGGATATTACAACTTTTACTTTGCAATTTTTCTCACCAACCTCTTTTCAGACAAAGGTTCAAATCTAACATTCTTTAGTGTTGACAGAATATTCCATTAGATGTGCTACAATTTATTCAACCATTTACTTACAAATTAACGTTTAGATTTCCAGCATTTTGCTCCAACAGATATTTCAATAAACATCTGTGTACTACTATTTTTGTGCCTGGGTACTTTTACCTTTATAGGACAATCTCCAAAGTTAGCTCAGTGAAAGCATGTGTATTCAATTCAATCCTAATACACACCTAGGTAACTCTGTAGTAGTTTAGTTCTGCCAGCAGTGTTTCAGTGTACCCATTTCCTTGCATCTTCACCAAAACTGATGTCATTGTTTTGATTTCATACTAATGATACATGAAATATGTTATTACATTGTTTTTTTATATTCCTGTAGCCCTTATTGAGAATGAACCTATTTTATGCTTCCTGACTTCTTCAATGACTACTCTATAAATTATTTGTGTATTTCTCCAATAATTTATTTTAAAATTCTCTTTGTATATAAGGACATTAATACTTTTCTTATTACTATGTAAAGAATTCTTCTAGTCTGTCTTTTCTTTTAACCTTGACTGTGGTCCCCTGCCATATGACATTTAAATTTTTTGTTTGGTAAACTCTGGTCCATCTGGGTTTCCAAGCTTGTTAATAAGATCACCACCATTGAGAGGTTTTATAAGAATTGTTTTTAAATCCTTTTAAGTGGGTATCTTTGTATTACATTCTGACTGTTGAGACCAGTGTGAGAAATTGCCACACTTAAAAAAAAAAAAGAAATAGAAAAGAAGAAATGAATTTGGGCAAGACAACAAGAGAGCAAGGGAGGAGGATGGAGTTGACCGTCCCATATTCTAAACAAGGAAAATCCTATATTTCAGAAAACAAAACTTGTAATGTTGTGAATTCTTTTATCATTATAAAGCCACATTCTCAGAAAATTTAAATATCTTTTGATGTATCCACTCCATTAATGTGGATAAAATCTTATATATGTGTACATAATTTGATGCTTAAATATACACTCCAACTATTTTTATTTTTACCTTTTTCGAATAGTGCTTACCTAATAATTTAAAAACACTGCAGAAAAGGAAGAACACAGCATCTGGGAAACTATTCAATTCTTTCTACATTAACCAAATACAAATACAGAAATTCTTGATTTTAAAATGTCACGTATTAAGTTAACTAAAGTGGCATAAATATTACTTAAAACAATAGCATGTTTAAATAAAAGGTCACTGCATTATTGTTTAAAATATTATGACTCTGGATGTAAATACATATAGACTTATGTAATTTGTTATTCATATAAACCCTCAATTAAAATGCTTAACTGTTCATCAATAAGACCTTTTTTCTAATAATAGTAAATTTTCTACTTCATTGTAAGTATTTAAAACCTTTTGAATCTTGATTTGTGAAGAAATTACTGAAAAATAACTTAAGGTTAACTAAGCTTATTAACTAAATGAACCAATAGTATTGTTTGCAATGCTGTCAGATTTCTCCATGAGAAAATAGTCACATATTGTTATTGCACAATTTATAGGTATAGGTTATGTGCACATAAACTCTCTATGTAATGACAGTGTCTTTCACTGCTACTTGCTCAACACACTTAAAATTATGAATATAATTTACAAAATCTTTAACAATATACTTTTAAGATAAAAGTATCCTGAGGATATTACAAAATTCATTTTACCAGCCCTTCATTTCTTTGTTTTATTTGATTCTTATTTAATTTCCAAGATAATAGTTGTCCATATTCTGTTACATAAAAATGTTCTTATAGTTCCTATCAACAAAATATATTTGAGTTAAATAGTATATAATTGTCCCTTAAACACTTTGTCCCATCTGCCTCCAGTCTCCTTGGTTAAAATCAAGTATTTATCAAGTTTTCTATAATTCTGGATCAAAAAGGTATAGCACAAAAACAGAGAGATTAGGGTTAGCACATTTAAGTTAAAAGCACTGTGCATCTTTAATAATTTGGTCATATTTTATAATAATATATTTTGGCAATTATAATAAAATATAAGGTTCAGTTTATTTTTGTTAATGTTGGTCTGGCATGTACTTTACATTTGTATATGCTGTCTATTTAATTTTACTGGTCTCACATTTGTTTCTAAAAATACTGCTATAGGGTTTTCAGAACTTTGAGACTAAAGCACCTAAAAAAAAAAATTAGGTAAAATGTTTCATTAGTGCTCAAACATCCTTTTGCAAATTTATAAGCTTATTTTTAAATGTCTCATATATGCCAACACAGAATTGTTATTGCCTGCTAAAACTTATTTGAGTCAATGTAATCTTTAAAATAATAATCTTGGAAATCTTCCTGAAATTTACTTGAAAATTGGAATGGGAATTTAAAAAGAAAAAATATGGAAAAAAAGTTGCTAATCTAGTGGCAGTAGTTGAGTATGGCACAAAAACATCTGAAAAGACTTGATGTTTTCTCTCATATATACACAAACTAAGTTCAAATGAGATGTGCAAGATATTTTACATATATACACACACTTGGACTCCAGAGGGGAGATTGATGAAAACTGAATAAGCCATGTGGCTCATTTATCACTGATGTCCCAATGACAGTTTTAATGAAGATGTTAATTTAAAAAATTTTTACCGAAATATCAATCTATCATTAATTAAGAGAAGAGTTTGAGAAAGGAAGTGAGATGTGGTGAATTAAGTGATGACTGATGTGTAACCTTACACAACTGGTATTGTTACTGTAAAAGAAATTCATGCAGAGATACCTGCAGCAGTGTTTGACAACAGTATGAAAACAAGACTCCTTGAACACTATAACATACTCACTATAACATACTATAAATATGTATTATTATAGCATTACTTACACATTCTACTTAGGCAATGTAGTCTAATTCTGAATAAACTTGTTAATTTTTAAGGCATCAGTGCATCAAGGGCAAAGCTCCATAAAATAAATATGAAAATAAGAAAGCATTAGCTTATTTGTGGCATAGAGTGCTCACTGTACATTATATGTGTTGGTTATCATGGAATAGGTAATAAATTATACATCTTATTGTCAAAATGTTACAGCATAAATTTCACATCATTTTTCAACACTTCATTTAGTGGGCTGAACTGATCTGGCAGTATTCTCATTTTCATTGTTCCATCAGCTCCACATGAAAAAATATGATTTGCTGGCCCTGTCTCAATTTGCATCACTCCAGTTCCGATATTTCTGAAAATTGACTGTCGAGCATGTTCATTGATAAAAGTGTGGAGAAGACTAAATGTAGAAAGACTCCAAATCTGAAAGACATTAAGTACAAAATAAAAATTGGGATGACAGTTACCTTAAAAATCCAAATGAAAAATGTAGGCCTGTTTCCTGTGCAAATAAGAAATTTCTAAAATAGAGAGGGAGAAAAATCTGTGTAGGCCTAAGGTCATAACTCGATTCTTTATAGGGTGTTACAGTTTTCCCAATTACTCTGTTATTACTACATTCTTCAAAATACATCCAGTAAGAGAGGAACGTATTTTAACCCCTGCATTGCAGATGAGAAAACTTAGGTACAAGGAGGTTACGCATACAATGCTAAGACTTGTAATATTATAGTGACATGTAATAAAATATCAAGATTTCCTATCTCTCAGCAAAGCTTTCACTGTGAGTTGTACAGTGGGGTAATCCTTTCTCTGTAATAGCCACCAGGAGATCAGAACCACTGGAAAAAGGGAAGTACCACATCCTAGAGGTCCTCAGACCAGGCAAAAATATGTACCATCAGTAAGATGGAGTTAATCATTACAATTTTACTATATTTCATTTACTAAGAGGTTCTATTTTCAGCCCTTACAAAAATAAATGTGTCCTAAAGTAATTTATAAGCATCTTCATTTATGTGAAGGACCTAAATGCTTTCAGTACATCCATTTAAAATTTAGGAAAACCAATTTTATTTTCTAAGTTTCTGAGATCACATTTAAAAAATCTTTCCTTTTGTTATGCAATTCATTAATTCATACTACTGTAGACAGACATGATTGTTAAGTTGTGACTTCTGAATACATGGTATACTTTCAAATCTTCTTTCATTTGATTAAATAATAAAGCTCAGAATCAGAATACAAACTAATCTAAAGAACTAATCTAAAACATAGTATGACTGATTCTGAAAACAGGGCAGTTCACATAAGAAACTAGCCTGAAACTAAAGGAAAAGATTTCTGAATGGGAGTTGGTGTACATATTCGATTTTAAGAAAAGCCTTTTCAAAATTCTACAATTCTAGTTAGTTTTTTCTGAAAACAATAAGCAGGTTATAACAAAATAGTGCAACTGCATTAAATAGCCTCACTAGCACTTATTAAATTAATGGATTCTGAGAAACTAGATTCCTCCAGTAGGCTGCTGACCATTAGAAAAACTTAGGTACTAGTCTAAACTGACATCCCTGAATATCTCACCACATGTGGCCAAAGTACCCTCCATGAAAACCACTAGGTCTGTGTCATAAAAATGCACCATTCCTAAGCCTTGGACTTACCAACTGAGTATTTCTGGGGTGGGATCCAGCAATGGTATTTCTAGAGTGCAGTATGTTTTTTAAATAAGCTGTTTAGTGTTTTTAACAAGCTACTTAACATTTTAAACAACCCCTAGGTTTTAAACACCATGAAGTTTGAGAGGGCCTTTTATAGGCAAGGCTTATCCAGATACATTTAGAATTATTGAATGAGACACTGAGTGACTGGATATAAATACTGCAAATGAATAAACGGGGAGAAATCTGAGATAAGGGAAAATGTCAGCATATTTTACAGAACTTGAAACTGAATTTAATAACACTGAAAATGAAGTCAAGGTAATTCTAACATCTGAAATATGCTTGTATTCTTGAAAATTCCAGTTCTTTTGCATGCATTAAGCATATTTGAAGACAACTGAAAAACTGACAATATTCAAGTTAAGTATTATTTCATTCATTACAGATTTATTAAGTAGCCAGTAACATTGTTGACTACAAAGGAGTTGATTTTTACGATCATAAATAGACTGGTGTCATCAAAAGATTAAAGACCTAAGGTTTCTTAAAATTTCTTTCCATTTTTTAGCATTACTGTTATTTACCTTTATGTTGCCTTCAGCAGATCCTGTAACAAAGTACTCTTCAGTTGGATCAATAGCAACAGCTTTAACAGGAGAATCATGGCTCTGGAAAAGCTGCCTCTGTTGTCGTTGCCGAAGGTCAAATACACATGTAAAGCCTTTTCTGCCACCTGATAATAGTAGCTGATGTTTTGGAGCATACGCTAAAACAGTGGCTCCACTGTCATGGCAAGTAAAAGCTGAAAGTTAAGAAGTAAAAACCATTTAATAGTGTAAGAAACAGACTTCCAGCTTTGGGCCAAGGTAAAATGATAGACAACTTTACTCTCCTGCCTGAAACAATTAACAAATCAAATTATATGTAGGAAACAATAGTTTGAGACATTGGATATCAGGCAGTGATGAAAAATGACCTCTGAGAGATGGGAAACAAACTGGGTGAACCACACAACTACCCTAATTTACTGTCTATAGAGTGTTTTCTGGCCATGGCACAAGGGGGGATCCTAAGTTTATCTGGGTTACTGTTTCCATGAGCCATAGTGGAAAACCTCATTAATTCACTAGAAAACAGGATAGTGTATTCAAAAGGGCTTTGCCTCATAGTAAGGCAAAATGATCCTTATACCAAATGTTTTGGTCCTTTCACAAAGTCCCCCTAAATCTATCTGTTTCCAAGTAACTTAGCCAAGATCTAACTATTTCAATATAATTAAGTCCTAGAATAGACCTTAAAATATTTACAGAATACAAAAAGGTCAGTAACTAGTAAGGTAAAATTCACAATGCCTGGCACCTAATAAAAAACTACCAGGCATGCACAGAAGCAGGAAAATACAACCCATAATGAGAAGAAAATTCATCAATGGAACTAACCTAGAAATGGCATGGATGATAAAACAAGTAGATAAAGAAATTAAAAGTTATTATAATTGTATTCCATATGTTCAAGAAGCTGATGAAACAGTGAGCATGGTAAGTAGGGCCATGAAAGATATACATTTAAAAAATACCCAAATCAAAAGTCTAAGGGATAAGCAACTACAATGTTCAAATTAAAAATACACTAGATAGGATTAAGAGCAGATTAAACATTAAAAAAAAATTAGTGGACCTGAAGACATAACAATATAAATACCAGAAATATAAAAACACAATATTTTTTCTTAAAAAAAAAAACAACAAAGTATAGCCTAATAAATCTTAGGGGAAAAAAAACTAAATAGCTCAAAGACAACACAGCATATTGATGAAGAGTGAAGATTTGGGAGTCAGATGCCAGAGTTTAAATCCTGGGCTTTGTTTGCATTTAAATGTATACCTCACCTTGGGTGAACTACTTAACCAAAGTTTCAGTTTCACCACTTGTAAAAGTGGGGATAATACCACCTGCCAACAGGCTTGTAAGAGGGTTAAATGAATTAATATATTCAAAGTATGTACAATACCTGGCATATACTAAGTACTCAATAAAATTTAGTTAATATCATTTTAAGAATCTAAGTAAAACTAATTATAGAGGTTTTTAAAATTTAACCAGCACTTTGAGACATAAAATGCAGAAGTTTTAAGTGTACACCTTTGATCACTCTGACATATGGATACATTTATGTAACCATCACTCACATCATGACACACAATGTTTCATCATCCCAAAAGTTCCTTCATGCCTCTTAGTGGTCAAGCCTCCTCTTCTACAAAGGCAATCACTATTCTGATTTCTATCTGCTTAGTTTTTCCTATTTCTGAACTTCACATACATGAAATTATATGGTATACACTCTTGTGCCTGGCTTCTTTTCCTTCAACATGTTTTAGAGTTTAATCCATGCTGTCTCAAGTATCAGCAAGTCACACTGTTTTATTGTGGAATAGTATTCTATTACATAAATATACCACATTTTCCATTGGACATTTGTGTTGTTTCTAGTTTTTTGGCTATTATAAAGCTGCTAAGAATATTCCTATACAGGTCTTTTTGCAGACATATGCTTTCAGTTCTCTTGTATATATGTAGAATATATGTTGCTGGGTCATTCTAACTGCATGTTTAGTATCACTGCAAATTGCCAAAGAGTTTTCCAAAGTAGTCATATCATTTTATATTTCTGTCAGCAAATCATGAGGGTTCCAATTTCTCCACATCCTCACCAACACTTGGTATTCTACAATCTTTAATTTTGGCCATTTCAGTGCATAGAGTAGTACCTCATGGTGAATTTAGTAGTTTTTAAGTCTTCAAAATTCATTTCTTTCCTGGATTATGCTTTTGGTGTTGGATCTAAAACCTTGTCTCCAAACCCAAGGTCACCTAGATTTTCCTCCTATATTTTCTTCTAGAAGTTTTAAAGTTTTTAATTTTACATGTAGGCCTATGATCCATTGAATTAATTTTTGTAAAAGGCATGAGGTTTATACCTAGGTTCATTTTCCTACATATCAGCATCCAATTATTATAGGATTATTTGTTGAAAAGACTACTTGTCTCCATTGAACTGTCTTTGTGTCTTTATTAACGATCAGTCTACTATTTATGTGTGGGCCTATTATTGGGTTCTCTATTCTGTTCCATGATCTGAGTCTATTCTTAAGCCAATACCACAATGTCTTGACTACTGTAGCCTGTAGCTTTACAGTAAATCCTAAAATCAGGTACTGTGTGTCCTCCAAGTTTGTTTTTCTTCAGTATTCAAGGTCTGCTGCCTTTTTATATAAACCTTAGAACCAGTTAGTTGATGTCTACAAAATAGTTTGCTGGGGTTTTGATTAGTATTGCATTGAATCTATAATGTTGGGAGGAAATAACATATCCAACAATATCAAGTCTTCCAATCTGTGGATGTGGAATGTCTGTCCATTTATTCAGATCTTTGATTTTCTTTTTTTGCAGTTTCCCCAACAGATGCTAAACATATTTTGTTAGATTTATGCCTCAGTCTTTCATTATTTTCAGTGCTATTAAAAATGGCAATTTAAAAAAATTTCATATTCCAACTGTTGCTTGCTGGTATATGGTAAAGCAACAGACTTTAGTATATTGACCTAGTATCCTGTGAGTTTGCTATACTTGCATGTTAGTTACAGGAGGTTTTCGTTTGTTTTTTAAGATTCTTTGGGATTTTCTATACAATCATGTCATCTGTGAATAAAGGCAGTTTTATTTCTTCCCTTCCAATCTGTATACCTTTTAGTACCTTTTCTTGTCTTATTGCATTAAAGGACTTCCAATACAATGTTGAATAGGAATGGTGAGAGAGGACATATCATCAAGGTATAGTGAAAAGTTAATTATGTATACTGCATTTTTCTTCTTTCAAACTCTGTGCCATCGTGTGCATTATAAACCTTACAGGTTAATAAATGTGTCATTAAAAACAAATCCATTTAAAAATCATTTTTAATTTATTAATTTATTGACTTCCAAAAATTATAAAATTCTTTCAAAACTTACCATGGACTAAACTATTGGCAGGTGCTACAAGTGTATCCCACAAACATATATTTCTGGAAAAAAAAAAGATAACTTCTTGAGTGACACAAAAATTTAACAACAAAATAAAATATGTCTTATACCATTATATAACACTTAAAACTTGCTCTTGCAGAAAGTTCTTAAATTTATAAAAGCACCAAACATAAATAACCACTGTTTCTGCATGATTACTTTTTATACACCATTGGCTTACAAACTGAATAACTTACATTAGCATGTATTTACAAATAATACTATATGTATTATGTAATATGTAAACTGTTTGTATTCATTGTATTCATTGAATCTGTAATAGCTGGACTACAAAAGAAGGTACACTGAATTTTCTTGAACATGAAGAAAAGTTATTTCTACTATGAATGGGAGCTGTTTTTACTTCTTTCTATGAGTTGCAAAAGACAGATAAATGTAAACATTTCTATGGAAGATGGGCCAAAGACTCCATATTCCTACAATCCTACTTCTAGAGCCAAGTAAGGCCTCACAGATAAATGTAAAAACTCAGCAACCTCAGTAGGCCTTGATCTTAGAACTCAGCTGTTATGGGGGAAGTCAAATTGGGACGTAGAAATGGAAGCAACAGCAGACATTTTCTTGTACATAAAAGCTTTACTGCTGGATGGACGGCACCTTAATAGCTATGGTACAATGAATAAGTCTTTGAGTTTCTTGTTTGTTATTGTGAAATAGTAATAATATCTACCTAATAGAGCCATGGTGAGGATTAACTCAATAGCATGGCCAATAAATAATTGTTCTTTTTTTTTTTTTGCCTCAAGTTTTTTTAACACATAGGGAATAATGTGGAGAACAATTAATTCCACCAACAATCAAATCCTTTTCTCCTAAGGTCTTAAGATTAGAATATTAAAAATACAGAAGGAATAGATTGTTTTCATCAGAATTTTCTTAGCTTCACAATTAGAACACTAAAAATGCTCTAAGAAATGTGTCTTTAGAATATAAATATTTAAAGCATAATTATGAAAACATTCAGAGATGTACAGACATAAAGCAATTTTAAAAAAGAGAGCACATACAGTTCAATTTCAGTTACAATATCTTACCTGTTGTCAGTTGAAAGACCAGCTGTAGCTATCAGAGAGGATGAACTAATGAAGACAAAATCATTGGCTGTTTTGTTATGACACTGCCAAGTCTGGAACGGTTATGAACAACAAATGTTACTGCTGTCACTATTTTATAACTGGATAGATTCATTAATCAAAAAGTAATCATGTAATATGTAGCTTACTTAAACCCTTTGTGTCCTTTTCCCCCTGAACTTTAGAAAAATTTCAAGAGTAATATGGAGAACTCTTTACCCAGACTCAGTACTTTTCAATATTTTGCCATTTTGTTTTGCCTCTCTTTCTTTCACACACACACACACACACATACACACACTCTCTCTCTCTTCTCTCTCCCTCTCCTCTTTCTCTCTCACTCTCTTCTCCTGAAACCATTTAAATAATTTGCTTAAGTCACGACCATTAGTGAGACCCTTTGCTTTTGCTCAAGCAAAGTTCAAAGGCAAACAAAAGCAGCTTAAACTCTAAACATTTTTCTTAGAATATCTGAGAAAAACATTTGTCTTTGAAGACAGAACCCAGGATTTTACATTATTTCAGACTGAATTATTTTCAGAAATACTTAAACTTTTAAATAATATTTAATATGTGAATGAAAACATTAATTCAACAAAATTAGAAAATGTATAATGTTTGTCAATATTCCATTAAATAAAAACTTAAGATATTTTGAAAGGCTTAGTCAGCAAAGTCTTCTAAATCATGTTTGTTTAGATGTTTCTCTTCAATAAAAAATGAATTTTTTAAAATACATAAAAATCATCACATGAAACATTTTTTCTCTTTGAGTCATTTCCCCAGTCCTCCTGACCACCACTGGAGCTGGGCTAGATGATATGTCCATACAACAAACAAAATTTACTTTAGTCCCCAAAGCCAATTATGTATATTCTTAATCCAATTTATCTTTTTAAAAGTTAAAAAAAAAAAGGCAGTCCTATAGGGAACATAACTTGTGTATATAAATCTGTTGGCTTAATGAAACTATGAGAGAAAATAAATATTCTTTCAAGGTACCCTCACCACACCTCCCTTGCTTGTTTTCACATACCGTATTCCAGCATTTAGCCTTGGATGAATTACTGTAATCTCAGACCATATTCTTAATTTTTTCTTGATAGATATTTTGCTTAGTCCTATAAAGGACTATACTGAAAAGATATATTAAATATAAATTTAGTGTTGTATGAAGCTGTAGAAGGTTCATTAAGCCTGTGTGGTCCTGAATAGAGATGTACCTTTTTTTTTTTAAGAGATGGGCAAAACCTTTATAGTACCAGCTACAGGATATCTTTTCTACTTTGTTCGTTAAGTGTTAACTGCAGAAAAACAACCAGATGAATGGCCTGTTTATCATTCTTTTTAGATCTAATATACACTGTAGCTTACTGAGGCTAGAAAAGGACTTCAGGAGCCCATAGACTGTATAGATCCCTGGAGGTACCATATTGATTCTATACAGGTTAATTTTCCAAGTTACCAGACACTAAGAGTTTTTATACCTCACAGACTAATTGCCTCATAATACAAGGTCAGAAGCTTATAGGAAAGTGATTGACTATATAGAACTAGATAGATTTTACTTTTTGGCTTTAATATTTCTTGCCTCAAATATATATTCTGGATTTCTCTAATATAAAGTTTAAAAAATTTTAAAGGTAAGAATTCTTGACTTACCAGGTATGGCTTAGGCATGCTTCCAGTAACTGGACAACACTTCCAGTTTGTTTGATACAAACTTAAATATCCATCAGCATCAACTATTCCAAACTTAGAGAAAAATTTTTTTTAAATGTTTAATACAAATACCAAAGCACATATTTACCCACACCATCACTGTGAATCCTGCATTTTGACTCTCAAACATGACTGATAAATTGTTTGACTTTTCACTTCAGAATTCCAGAGTGGACTTAAAGGAAACAAATATCAGACACCTGTATTAATATACTAACCAACAGCACAGTCTGCATATTCTCTCTGAGTACTCCAAAAGAGGGTACTGGATTTACATATTAGCCATGTAACAAAGTTTTAGAATATATAAGATAGAAAACTATTCATTTTGATATAGACAAAATAAGGACTTTAACAAATATAAAATAAGGAAAACATGTAGACAACAGTAGAGAATAAAATGAAGCAAAGATAATCATAGAAAAAGAATTCCACTATGGGAACTCAGGGCATTTTGACTGGGAAGATGTCTAAATCTGATAAGGGAGTATATGATACAGATCTCGAAGGATGAGTAAGACTGCTAACAATTTTTTTCTTTGGTCATAAAAATAATGCATACTTGTATAAAATATATAACATAAATGTTACGGACTCTCCCATCTCCAGATGTAACTACTATTAAGAATTTGATATATTCCCTTTCAGATTTGTTCTACAAATATTCAAACATTCACACACAGAGGGATTTTTTAAAAATCACTATAAAATACAGTGCCGTAATTACATTTATCACGTATTATAGCTATCTTTTCATATCAGTACACATAAATCTACCTCATTCTTGTGCTGTATACTATTACATTGTATAGTTACAACTTCTTAGAACTTTTCCCTTATAAACAGTTTTTAATTTTTCTTATTATAAAAAGTGGTGTTTTAAACATTCTTGTACATATACTTTTGAATATTTACTTGAGATAGACACTTAGAAATGGGAACACATTGTCAAATGGTATCATTTAAAATTGGTGGGTGAAATCAAAATTAAATCCTAAGTGGTAATGTCAACTTACCCATTTTTCTTGCACATCAGTCAACATCGCATATTACTAAAATTTAAAATATTGGTTCATTTATAGAAAGAATGCTCATTTTAATGTGGATTACTAATGGAGATTAATGGCCATATATAGTTTGTAAATGGAATGACCATATTCTTTATTTTTCTAGTAAGTTGTCTTTTAAAACTTTTGATTGATAGGGTTAATATTAGGAATATAAACACATGGTTTACTATATTTGTTGCAGATATTTTTCTAGGGTCTATCTTTTTTGTGATTTATCCTGTTTTCTGGAGTTGACCTAGGTACATTCTTCAGAAAGGGTATTTGGAAAGTATTAAGTCTTTTCATACTTAAAAATGTGTTTACTTTGTTGTCAAACTCGAATGATAGTTTGGACAGACATCAACTCACAGTTCCCATTTCTTGTCCATCAAGATTCTGTGAAAACACGGCTACTGTCTACTTGTAGACTCTATTTTTGACTATGCCAATGCCATTAATTTTGCAGTGGGGATGGAGCTGTTCTAAGCAACCATTTTTACCCCTGTTCCCTTCTACAAGCTCTCTGTATACTTGAAATAAAAAATAAAAATCAAATGATCAGGATGTACCTGGGCATTTCTCAGTTTCTGCCTAGTACTTGGTAGGCCCTTTTCTAAAATTCTACTTTTTTCTTTGTTTTGGGGATATTTTTAGTTTACTAGCCCTTTAAAAACGATGTTTTTTTTTCCATCATTTTTTCCCTTCTTTGAAAATAACTTTTAAACGTCTTTTAATGACTTCCTGGATCTAGTCTCAACTTCTTTGTTGGATTATTTTAATCATGAGGTAATTTCCAATTTGTACTTTCTAATTACAAACTTGACTTTCAACTATTTTCATTCTGCTATTCAACCCTTCTAATGAGTAGTTCCCCAATTAACCCAATTTTTGGAAATCATATGTTTTTAATTTCCAAGAATTTTTCTCTTTTCTCCTACTGCCTTATTTCATGGTAGTCTGTTCTTGTTTTAGTATCTTCTTGAATCTGAGGGTTCCTCATAGGTTATTTATTCTGCTTAATGCCCCTTTTAAGGCTCTTAATTTTTCTGCAAAGTTCAGTGACTTTTGGTAGCCCATTTCTAGTCATAAATGGCAAACTGATCGGCATTACAGTGATATAATATAGGTCATCTGTTCCATTTACCCTTGCAGACTTCCCTACTAAAGGAGATGGCATGCTTAGGTGCTGTGCTATTTGGTTCCATCATGGCCAAGGGGAATGAACAGTAAATTGACTGCCTGTCAAAGATACTTGGGCAGGCAATGAACAATAGTTTGCTGTGACTAAAAATAGCCTATACGGGAAGTTATAGTGAGTGCTAAATCTGTGAAATAATTCACATTGCAGGTCTTCAAAGCTATGCTAAAGAATTTGGGTTTCTACATATGATGAGCCTTGAAGGGTTCTTGAAGAGAATAATAATATGATCTCACCTATAGTGTAGTTATATAACCATGTTGTTATGTAGCTTTGTTGGCGGCATAAGAGAGATAAGGGTTGAAGTACAGAGATGAGTTAGGAGCAATATAACATTGACAACCAAAGTGAAAAAGCATGAGCATATATTGATAGTTATACAACTGAAGGCATAGTAGAATTCTAATGTCTTCTAGATTAAATCTTCTAATTTCCCATTAAGGAGCAAAGAATGTTGCTAATTAGTATTAAAAAATTATATGCTTTCAAAATTTTATTTCCTAACTATATTAAAATATTATCATTGACTTTGGTGAAATGCTAATAGAGCCATATGATAAAGGTGGTAGGCAAAAAGGTTGCAGTACCCCATGATAAAAGTAATGAGTGAGGAGTTTTGGAGGTTGAGGGAAGAGGAAAGTCAAGATGTACCGTCAGATAGGGCCTATGTGAGTGTTTTTGGTGAAGTTTGGTTTGTGAAGACAAAGAGCAGGATGATTTCCCTTTCAATCGTTGTTTAGGGTGCTAGTGACATGGTTGGGGCAGAAGGAGGCAGTTTGAGAAAAGTCGGCATATAGGAAGATGGGAACTGAAGGCAGTAAATGATGTTCTAGAGCAGGGTGGGCAAACTTTTTCTTAAAGGATAATAAAGTAAGTATTTTATACTTGCCAACCATAAAGTCTTTCTTCTGAACTCTACTGTTGTAGTAGAAAAGTCAACATAAAAACAAATAATGAATGGGGTAGCTGTGTCCTAATAAAATTTTATTTACAAAACAGGTGGCGAGGCCATGGTTTATTGATGTCCTGTTCTAGACAGGACAGTGCATCTCAAGACTTTTAATATGTGTATAAATCACAAGAGTATCTCGTTAAAATGCAGATGGTGACAATAATTTACATTTCTAACAAGCTCCAGATGTTTCTTGCTACTTGGTGCTTGACCATGCTTGGAGTAGGTTCCAGAGGATAAAGAAAGTTACAACTATTTAATCCAGAATGTATAAAATAAGGTGGTTCTATAACCACTTGATTCTTAAACATCATTTAGGTAAATTTATTGGGCATATACACAATGTCTTTCCACGAATAACCAAATGAATTTAGTGTTCTTTGAGAAGGATTTTTAAAAATGGTCATATAAATACTTTACCATTATTAGCTCACTAAGCTGTTCTCTTCAGTAACACAGACGAGTAAAATTTATAAGCCTCCAATGTAATCAAACCATTTTCCCATTTATATTTTTATATACTACCTACCTTATTTCCCTGATAGTTAAACCTCATTCTTGTAACTCTTGAATTGCCCCCAGATCGGAAACAAGTTATTTGTTGAGAATGGCCCCATTCGAACATTCTGACACTTCCATCTTGAGCTCCTGTCAGATCTGCATTATAATGAAGTAAAAATTGCAAATGTATTTCCAGAATCTTTGAAATATTTACTTTTTAAACCAATGTGAAAAACTTTATGGAAGAAACTACTAAGAAATGAATCACAGTCAATTTTTATGAATTTATCTTTGCTATGAAATTTCACTTTAATATCTCATCTTAAAAACAGATAGTTATGTGATATACTTCTATTTGACTAAAAACATATTCTCCCACAAAACAAAAGAAGCAATTAACTCAGGCCTCTATAAATTTGATCCTCTTTTGAAATAATCTCTAGGTGTTTTAATAGCCTTTAATAAGTAACTTTTATGATAACCACTTAACAAATTCTTGGGATTATTAAAGATCCAATTGGTATCAGTAATACCAATAATATTTAAATTTACATATTTTTCTCTGAAAACAAAGACTACAGAAGGTCTTGAATGTCGTGTTAAAGAAAAAAAATCATTTCTAGTAGTTACTCTGATTGACCTGATATCTGAAATATGTTACATGTTTCACTGAGGAATATGAACAAGCTAAATAAATTACTAATTCTTCACTATACCATTTATTACTTGAGTGATAACTAATCTCCCTGAACCTTTCTCCTTCCTGTAAAAGGGTAATAATGACATGTAAGTCAACAGTTGTGAGAAGAAAATGACACAATTCATATGAATCATTCAGAAATATGCCTGACTACAGAACTCAATTTATGTTAAGTGTAATTATCAGCATTAATGTGGAGGAGAGGTAGTGAGAAATTACATTAATGTATACAGAGCATCTTGCACATTGCTAGTCATATATTACTCGTTTCCCTCATTCCTTATGAAGTATATAAAATAAATGAGCTTCAACTGTTTTGAAATGTTTTAACATTGGGCTGGGTAAGAAGTGGATATAATTTTTCAAGACTTTCCCTTCTCCCCAACTGTCTTGCTCATTTAGCTTAATTAAAAATTATAAACTGGGGTAGTTGTGTTTAAAAGCCACTCTAATCTTCCTAATATTACTTATAGTTTTTAACTTATTTGAAAAAATTCCTAATTATTAGTTGTTGACATGCAAAATGAAATACTCCATTAAAAGCCTTATAAACTAAGATTTAAAAAAAACAAAACAAAGGTTTCTATAACCAGGTTGTCTGAATAAATATACCTGTTAGTAACTGACGAGTGTTATATCCTACAGGTAAGGAAATTATTAAATGCAAACTTAAAAACCTAATATGTTCATTATTTTTAAAAAATAGGGCTTTCCTTTTAAGACTTCCATTTCTATTTTAATCCAAACCATTAGCCTACTTCTCAAAATTTCCTAGGAGTTGAAGTAAAAAAGTAGTGGTTTATTATGATTAAGATTTTTAAAAGATCTTCTCCAATGGATGGTACTATTTTGAGGTATCTGAAACTCAGAGTAAAATTTTAAAAAATCCTGTCTCATAACAGTTGCACTACATAAGAAGTGTTTATTGTTGAACTAAATTACAGTATGTGGGACTTGTTCATGATATGAAAAGATATACTGAAAAAAAAACCAGTGATTAATTTTATTACCTTCTAACTTTTCAAGTCTCTTATCTGCCAGTTATGGTAGTTCTCTGAACAGAGAAAGAACTTATCCCAACAAGAGGTGATCTGATGTTGCCTAATTAACTCTGAAAATAAGTCCATTAATTGCCTTTGAAGCTAGGGATCTCATATTTAACTTTATGGGCTTAAGGTAGAGGATATTCTCTATAAACTAGTCACCTGTTAGGACACATGTGTGGTGCTTAGAAAAAATATGAAGTCCTTTCAATATTTCAGGAAACTTCCAAACCCTATTGCATAGAAAGGATAGATTTTAAGCAATGCCAAATGTTTCTTACTGTGGGAATAATATTAAGATCTGTATATAAAACATATCTGGATCCTTATCAGCATGCTTCATGATTATTTTTATAGTGCCATTTCACATTAGACTTATGGATAGAAAACATATACTTCTAGTACTGAATAAAATCAATGTAGTGAAAAGTGTTTTATATTATTTTGTATCTCTGCATTTTAAATACATGTTTATCTGGAACCCTTTTACTGGACTTTGGTATACAACTTTGATATTAGATGCTTATTGCGCTTATGATTACGAAGTAGAAAAGAACACTGGTTTTGTCAATTATATTTTATCAGACTATCATGAAAAAGGTGGTAAAAATTTTTATAGGTTATTACGTTGGAGGGACATGAATACCTCCTAATTAACATGCACTATTTTTCTTACTGTGTGGTAGGACAACTTGATGAAGGGCACAACTTAAAAATTCTATTTTAAAATAAAGTGGAATACACACATTCTAATATGAATATTGATTCTAACACACCAATTAATTTTAATGTTAATGCTATTATTTTCTCTACTTCACTATTTCCAATAAACTCCCCACTAATTAAGTTCTTTGTTAAAAGAAGAAAAGCTTTTAAGATTCCTGGGAAGACAAAGTGAAAATAAATATATCTTATAATAGGATGGAAGACCTTACTAACAACCATTTCCCCTACTTATTATTAGTGTGTTTGATAAGAGACACTCTGACAAAACATTAATAAACAACAAACCAGTAATGATGAGGCAATAAATGACCAACATATGGTTTTGGTCTATGTAATAAAGATGAGAATGATCCCTTTAATAAAACAATAATAATCAACTACAATTTAACATTGTGTAAATAATTCAGAAATGTTCAAAAATAAAATGTGCTAACCTGGAAATACACAAAGTGCCAAAACTTGATGCATTAAATTTACTACACTCATTACTAAACTAATAGCCTTCTGTATTAATTCAAGACTTTACTATTTTTATCCAATTTTGAAATGAAGGTTTTATTTGCTAGCAAACATTCTCTTAAAAAAAAAGTGAAATAAATGTTTACTATCTTTCAAATGGAACTAAAAGCTGCCTTTAAATTCCTTCAAATGGCTAATTGATAACAACTTACAGTAAGGAAGAGTTGGATGAGAAGTCATTCTTCTGACATTATTAATGGCTTTCTTAATCATCTGTTAAAGAGAAATAATGCTTTTACAGATAACATAAAAAGTAACATTAAAAATTTGAATTGTTACAGAAAATTCAAACAACATTTATTTTTATGTGGTTCCATAACTACTACACGGGGGCTAAAAATACTAAATAAAAATATACAGCTCAGCTCTCTTAACATTTAAGTGTACATACATTTTCTGCATCATTGAATAAGCTCTAAGAACAAATTCACCTCAAGAATTTCCGGCCAATTCTTTTCTGATCCTATTAAATTTATTGGAATAATCCTGAATAGTATAAGGTTAAAAAGAGGCAGAAGCATGTGAAAAAAAAGAGGTAAACAGAAAATTGTATAAATTTTTAATTGATAGTTTGGAACTGTTTACTTAACCACTTTTAAATCATGTTTTGAAGGATTTAAGTAGCCTGTCAAGTAAGAATAAAATAAATACATGAAATTAACGGGACAATTTTAATCTGTAGAACATTTCCTATTTATATAGCACCATAAACACAGTTAAATGTTATCCTAAGTTTGTACCATCAGTGGCATATAGATTTGTCATTATTGCTGCCTTTTGGATTGTTCAATTACCCTACAGTTGCCAATAAAATGGGGATTTGTTAGGAAAGAGATTAGGCGAGAACTGATGAAGGACAGAAACACTGAAAGATATACGTGGACACAGTTATGTGCCAACAACAGAGACTGGTCACAACAAGTATTCTTTTTTGTTAGTATTCATAATTCAATGAAATAATCAGATTAAGAAAATATTTTATCAATTCTTCACATAAAAATGAAAGCCTGCTGAATATTACTTCTGTTTAGTAAACTTCATACTTAAATCTCATGTTCTTCTTAATTAAAGAAATGCCTGAGGAGCTGAGATTAAAGATGGCTGCATGAAACATGAGGCAGAGACTTCCTCCTAAAGTCGCATACAATACGAAAATATAATTAATACAACTAATCATGAAAGAGCAACATGAAAGAGGACTACACCAGATTGCATACACCCGGAGAAAAGAATAAACTTCACGGAACAGGGTAAGGTACCAAAGCCCTTCCCGCACCCTGGTCACCGGTGGGATAAAGAAAAATGGAGCAGGGAAGGAGTGGAGGCCTGGAATTGCTAAACACCAAGCTCTGGAGATCTGCTCTGGGAGAACAAACCTACATTACATAGTGCTCTCATGATTAGAGGGGTTGGAAAGCTAAGACAGGCAGAATACCTGGAGAGACTGAGATTCTAGCTGCTTGTGGAAAACAGGGATCCATATCTGGCTTCTCTGGGACAATAGAAAGGTGGGCAGTCTGCGGGCTGCTAAAGGGGCAAGGATAGCACAGAGCTCACTGCTCAGGAGAAAGGACAGGTAGACAAAATTGTCGGGGTGCACTCTACCCAGCAGGTTGGGAACTTCCACAATCTTCAGGTGTCCAGCCCCCTGGCTGGCTATGCAGCTCCAAGGCCCCCTCCGTGATACACAGCCTGCTGCGCATTCCTCCCGGACAGCCTGCACCCGAATCACAAACCGGGAAACCCTACAGTGGCATTAGGCCAGCCAGAGGGAAACCCCACCAACAGCAGCTACAAACGCAAAGCATAGAGGCTTACACCTGTGTGGTTAGCCCACTGGTTCTAGCAGTGGAGACAGGCACAGCAGCTGGGAAGCAGGAAACAGCTCTTTCCTCCCCCCAGGCACCAACACCACTTCCCTGAGACTCCTGACATTGTTTGAGGGGCTAAGCAGCTCCAGAGAGTAGAGCTTCTGGGCACTAGAGGGCGCCACATACGAATATGAAACATCAAAGGAACCTGGTTCAAAGCAAAATTATAAATACACCAGAGAAAGACTCATATGAAATAGACCTCATGAATCTTTCCTGAAAGGGATTTCAAAATAAAAAACATAAACATGCTCATGGAGGTAGACAAAAATATTCAAGAACTGAGGAATGAATTCCAGTCAGAGATCCAATCATTACGGAACACAGAATCAGACATGAAACATACAACGTATGTTTTAAAAGCAGATTAGATACAGTGGAGGAGAAGATAAATGAAACAGAAATTAGAGAAGAGGAATACAAAGAAGCTGAGGCACACAGAGAAAAAAGGGTCTCTAAGAATGAAAGAATATTATGAAAACTGTGTGACCAATCCAAATGGAACAATATTCGTATTACAGGGGTACAAGAAGAAGAAGAGAGAAAAAGGGATAGAAAGTGTCTTTGAGGAGGTAATTGCTGAAAACTTCCTGAATCTGGGGAAGGAGATAGTCTCTCAAGCCATGGCAGTGCACGGATCTCCCAACACAAGAGACCTGAGGAGGACAACACCAAGACATATAAAAATTAAAATGGCAAAGATCAAGGATAAGGATAGTCGGAGACAGAAATAAGATCACATACAAAGGAAAGCCCATCAGGCTATCATCAGACTTCTCAGCAGAAACATTACAGGCCAGAAGGGAGTGGCATGATACATTTAATGCAATGAAGCAGAAGGGCCTCAAACCAAGAATACTTTATCCAGCAAGATTATCATTAAAATTTGAAGGAGGGATTAAACAATTTCCAGATAAGCAAAAGCTGAGAGAATTTACCTCCCACAAACCATCTCTACAGTGTATTTTGGAGGGACTTCTATAGATGGAAGTGTTCCTAAGGTTTACTAGCTGTCACCAGAGGTAATAAAACCAAAGTAAAGAAAGTAGAACAGTTAATTGCTAAGCAAATGCAAAACTAAATCAACTACTGCCAAAGTCAATCAAAGGATAGACAAAGAGTACAGAATATGATACCTAATATATAAAGAATGGAGGAGGAAGAAAAAAGAGGAGGAAAAAAGAACCTTTAGATTATGTTTATAATGGCATACTAAGTGAGTTAAATTATACTCTTAATAAGGAAGTTAACCTTGAACCTTTCATAACCACAAATCTAAAGCCTGCAATGGCAATAAGTACATACCTATTGATAATCACCCTAAATGTAAATGGTCTAAAGACAGAGAGTCACTGAATGGATAAAAAAAAGGAGACCCATCTATATGCTGCCTACAAGAGACTCACTTTAAACCCAAAGACACACAGAGCCTAAAAGTGAAGGGATGGAAAAAAATATTTCATGTAACTAACAGGGAGACAAAAAAGCAGGAGTTGCAGTACTTGTATCAGACAAAATAGACTTCAGAACAAAAAAAGTCACAAGAGACAAAGAAGGACATTACATAACAATAAAGGGGTCAATCCAACAAGATATAACGATTATATGCACCCAACACAGGAGCACCTACATATATGAAACAAACACTAACAAAATTAAAAGGGGAAATAGAATGCAATGCATTCATTCTAGGAGACGTCAACACTCCACTCACTCTGAAGGATAGATCAACCAGACAGAAAATAAGTAAGGAGACAGAGGCACTGAACAGCACATTAAAACAGTTAGACCAAACAGACATCTACAGAACTCTACACCCAAAAGCAGCAGAATACACATTCTTCTCAAGTTCACATGGAACATTTTCAAGAATAGATCATATACTAAAGAACAAAAAGAGCCTCAGTAAATTCAAAAAGATTGAAATTCTGCCAACCAGTTTCTCAGACCACAAAGGCATGAAATTAGAAATAAATTATGCAAAGTGCAAAGAAAATGAAAAATCCCACAAACACATGGAGGCTTCACAACATGCACCTAAATAACCAATGGATCAATGACCAAATAAAAATAGATCAAGCAATATATGGAGACAAATGACAATATTTTAACACTACAAAATCTGTGGGACACAGCGAAGGCCGTGCTAAGAGGAAAGTATATTGCAATACAGGCCTACCTCAGGAAAGAAGAAGAGTCTAAAATCAGAATTAACCAAACTAGAAAAAGAAGAATAAAAGAGGCCCAAAGTCAGTAGAAGGAGGGACATAATAAAGATTAGAGCACAAATAAATAAAATTGAGAAGAATAAAGCAATAGAAAGAATCAATGAAAGAGCTGGTTCTTTGAGAAAATAAACAAAACAGATAAACCCCTAGCCAGACTTATCAAGAAAAAAAGAGTCTACACACATAAACAGAATCAGAAATGAGAAAGGAAAAATCACTACAAGCACCATAGCAATACAAAGAATTATTAGAGAATACTATAAAACTATATGCTAACAAACTGGATAACCTAGAAGAAATGGACAACTTTCTAGAAAAATACAACCTTCCAAGGCTCATCCAGGAAGAAACAGAAAATCTGAATAGACCAATTACCAGCAAGGAAACAGAATTGGTAATCAAAAAACTACCTAAGAAAAAAATTTCTGTACACAATGGCTTCACCGCTGAATTTTATCAAGCATCTAGTGAAGACCTAATACCCATCCTCCTTTAAGTCTTCCAAAAAGTAAATGGAGGGAATACTTCCAAACTCATTCTACGAGGCCAGCATCACTCTAATACCAATACCAGGCAAAGACACCACAAAAAAAGCAAATAACAGACCAATATTCCTGATGAACAGAGATGTAAAAATACTCAACAAAATATTAGTAAACCAAATTCAAAAATATATCATAAAAATCATCTATCATGTTCAAGTAGGATTTATTCCAGGGATGGAAGGACAGTACAATATTAGAAAATGCATCAACATCATCCACCACAATAACAAAAAGGACAAAAATCACATGATCATCTCCATAGATGCCATAAAAGCATTTGACAAAATTCAACATCCATTCATAAAAACTCTTAACCAAATGGGTATAGAGGGCAAGTACCTCAACATAATAAAGGCCACATATGAGAAACCAACAGCCAACATCATACTTAACAGCGAGAAGCTGAAAGCTTTTCCTTTAAGAACAGAAACAAGAAAAAGATGCCCACTCTCTCCACTTTTATTCAACATAGTTTTGGAGGTCCTCGCCACAGCAATTAGACAACACAAAGAAATAAAGGGCATGCAGATTGGTAAGAAAGAAGTTAAACTGTCCCTGTTTGCAGATGACATGATACTGTACATAAAACACTCTAAAGAATAGATCTAGTATATGAATTCAGCAAAGTTGCAGGATACAAAATTAATACACAGAAATCGTTGCATTTCTTTACACTAATGGTGAACTAGCAGAGAAATGAGGAAAACAATTTGTTTCACAATTGCATCAAAAAGAATATGTAGGAATAAATATAATGAAGGAAGTGGAAGATCTATACCCTGAAAACTATAAGACACTCATGACAGAAATTAAAGAAGACACCAATAAATGGAAATGCATCCCATGCTCATGGATAGGAAGAATTAATATTGTTAAAATGCCCATCCTGCCAAAAGCAATCTACAGATTCAATGCAATTCCCTGTCAAAATACCAACAGCATTCTTCAATGAACTAGAGGAAATTGTTCTAAAATTCATATGGAACCACAAAAGACCTCGAATACCTGAGCAATCCTGAGAAGGTAGAATAAATATGGGGGGATTACACTCCCCAACTTCAAGCTCTACTCAAAAAAGCCACAGTAATCAAGACAATTTGATACTGGCACAAGAACAGAACAATAGACCAATGGAACAGACTAGAGAGCCCTGATATAAACCCAACCACATATGGTCAATTAATATACGATAAAGGAGCCATGGACATTCAATGGGGGAAATGACAGCCTCTTCAACAACTGGTGTTGGCAAAACTGGACAGCTAAATGCAAGAGAATGGAACTGGATTGTTGTTTAACCCCATACACAAAAGTAAACTCAAAATGGATCAAAGACCTAAGTCATGAAACCATAAAATTCTTAGAGGAAAACATAGGCAAAAATCTCCTGAATATAAGCATGAGCAACTTCTTCCTGAACACATCTCCTTGAGCAAGGGAAACAAAAGCAAAAATGTACACATAGGACTACATCAAAGTAAAAAGCTTCTGTACGGCAAAGGACATCATCAACAGAACAAAAAAGGCATCCTACACTATGGGAGAATATATTTGCAAATGACATATCGGAAAAAGGGTTAACATCTAAAATATATAAAGAACTCACATAACTGAACACCCAAAAAGCAAATAATCTGATTAACAAATGGGCGGAGGATATGAAGAGGCAATTCTCCAAAGAAGAAATTCAGATGGCCAACAGACACATGAAAAGATGCTCCACATCACTCATCATCAGGGAAATGCAAATTAAAACAATGAGGTATCATCTCATACCAGTAAGGATGGCCAACATCAAAAAGACTAAGAGAAACAAATGCTGGCGAGGATGAGGAGAAAGAGGAACACCTCCTACACCGCTGGTAGGAATGTAAGCTAGTTCAACCATTGCGGAAAGCCGTATGGATGTTCCTCTAAAAACTTAAAGTAGAAATACCATTTGACCGAATCTCACTCCTTGGAATTTACCCAAAGTATACAAGTTTTCAGATTCAAAAAGACATATGCACTCCTATGTTTATTGCAGTACTATTTACAAGAGCCAAGATATGGAAGCAACCTAAGTGTCTCTCAGTAGATGAATGGATAAGGAAGATGTGTAAATATACACAATGGAATACTATTCAGCCATAAAAAAGAAACAAATCCTACCATTTGCAACAACATGGATGGAGCTGGAGGATATTATGCTCAGTGAAATAAGCCAGGCGGAAAAAGACAAGTGCCAAATGATTTCCCTCATTTGTGGAGTATCACCATGAAGCAAAACTGAAGGAACAAAACAGCAGCAGACTCACAGACTCCAAGAAGGGACTAGTGGTTACCAACGGGGAGGAGTATGGGAGGGGGAATGGGGAGGCAGGGAGAAGGGAATTGAGGGGTATTATGTTTAGTACACATGGGATGAGGGGTCACAGGGAAAACAGTGTGGCACCGAGAAGGCAAATAGTGAATCTGTGGCATCTTACTATGCTCATGGACAGTGACTGTAATGGGGTATGGGCGGGGACTTGATAATATGGTAAATGTAGTAATCACATTGTTTTCTCATGTGAAACTTTCATAAGAGTGTATATCAATAATACCTTAATAAAAGAAAAAAGAAATGCCTAAAGGTCTGTTCTCTTATTTTTTTTCTGATTAAAGTATCAAATGAAAACAATAAGTAAAAAAATTCACAAATACAGGTTTAAAAATTTTCTGAAAGCAGATGTATGACATTATAAAGAATCATTAATTATTTTAGAAGATCTATATAAAAAAGAACTGTCTTATTATATAGGTGTCTTTTTCTTAATGATGGAGTGGGGCAATCTTAATAGTTCTGTTTGCAAATCACAATGACCCCAATTAAAAAGATGTCCATCTAAGTTTAAATAAGAAAACTCAATCCTAGGAGGAACGACAAAGGTAAATTTCTGTCTTATAATGCTCTGGAATATAAACAAACATTTTCTACTGTTAAACACCATTCTAATTAGAGATCATTAATGTATAAGGCAGCGATAATGTAATTTCTCAAAGAGCTTACATTCCAAGGGGTGTAAATAAGACAGCTGGGTAATGAATCAGTAATTTCAAAGGTGATAAAAGCTATATAGATGATAAAACGGGGGAAAAGGATACTGGGTGATTGGGAGTAGAGTAGGGAGGGGCAGATGCCTTCACCAGGAAGGAAGGGAAATGTCTGAAGGTTGAGTTGATATCTGTATGGTAAAACAGGAAAAAAGTAGAAAGCAAGGCAGAAGCTCTGACATGGCAATGAGCTTGATGTGTTCAAGAGACAGAAAGGTCACTCTAACTACAGCAAAGAGAGATGAAGTGGCAGAGGTGGCAGTGATTGAATCACAAAAAGCCTTAGAGGCCATGCTAAGGACTTGTTTTTTTAAAGCTGCACTGGGAAATCTGAAAACTTTTAGCAGGAGAGGGACAACCTGAACAATGCTTTAGAAAAGAGCAATTTTGGCTGCTGTGTACAGAACAGAGCAAATGTGGAAGCAGTTGAACAAAAAGCTGTTACAGAAAGAACTATAGGATTGTGTTATCTGAAACTGGAATTGGAAAAAAGTGTCTATTATTTCTTTTTATTATATTTCATTTTCTCTTTAAGTTCCTTTTTAAAAGTGATATACTAGTAAGTTTTACAAATGATTTAATATATCTGTCAGATGGGAAAAAATGAATTATTAATGACCAAGTCATTTCATTTGAATAATTACCAGATCATTTTTCAAATTCTTCAATTTAGTATGTAAAATACTCCTACATGAATCAATGCACTAAGGAGAATGGAAGGCTTTAATACAAGCTCTACCACAAATCTGAGATAGTGACCGGAGTTTAAATCACTAGACCTTTCTGGATCTCAAGCTTCACTGTAAGAATAAGTAGGAGTAATATAACAGCTACAATAGAGATCTCAAAGAATAATAAGGTTATATGAGGGATAACAGAACTGCATTAAGTATAAAATATTATCATGTATTATTAATGATTAAGCCTTTATTTAAATAATCGTTTTTACTAATTAGTAAAAAAACAAAACAACAACTTGGCCCAAGAAAGAATTCTATAGGACTTAGGAAACTGAAAAAATAAAAACAAACAAACAAAAAACCTATCACCTAGAAAGCCACTGAAGGAATTACTGATATTGGATTTATTTGACTCTGTATATTAATTCTTATTCCTTAAGTGCCAACATAAAGGCATCTCATGGAGGTGTAAACATGGATCACATCTTAGGTCTAATCAGGGCTCAAGAAGATCCTCTAATACTAGAGAAAAACTCTGTTTCAGTTCATCTACATATTAAACCTTGCTTAAATTTTTAAAAATTTATATTGTTTTTGTTAAAAAAGAGAATGTATTTGTCTCAGCAGTAAAAAAAAGGTATACTTAACATGGGCACAGTTGTTAACTGATATCCATTAAGAAATTACCTAGACTCGAGGTTAGCAAACCTTTTTTGGAAAGAACCAGATAATAAATGTTTTGGGCCTATGGGCATATGGTCTCTGTCACAGATACCCAATTTTGCCACTATAGCTTGAAGGCATCCATAGACAAAATATAAAAAAATGGCTGTGGCTATGTTCCAGAAAAATTTTATTTACAGACACGGAAAATTGATTTTCATATAATCTTCATGTGTCACAAAATACCATTTTTCTTCTGATTTTTTTTCAACCACTGAAAAATGTGAACACCATTCTAGCATGTTGTCTATACAAAAAATATAAATGGGATAGGATTTAACCATTCATCATAGCTTGCTGAGGTCTTATTTAGACCAATAAATTCTAAATAATTACTTAAAGTATAGCTCTTTGTATATAAGTTGTTATCCTTTTCAAATGAAAATATATTATTCTTCATAATCAAAATTTATAATTTTCAGCAAATATGACTTACAAATAAGTCAAGAATTTTTTAAAAAGTTTAAATCATCCTTTATCTACCTAATCCAGAAAGAAAAATAGGACATTTATACACAAACTCTTTAACTTTACGTACCACAGAGGCTCCTCTGCCAGTCTGTGTACTGCCAAGCCATGGCATATTGATTGGAGTGCCAGGATTGCTGTGTGTGTATGGGGTTGTACCTTGCACAGCTGTTAAATCATCATGAGCATGTATTACCAAGAAATCCTCCAACCTAAAATGGAATGTCAACCACAATTAAAGCAACCAATCAGGTTCTTTATTTCTTCTATAATACTTGAAAGCTCTAACATATGGCTTTATCTTTCCCCTTAAAATTAATTTTCTTCAGCTCGTAACTCCTAACTCATATGTGAACAATTTCAATTTCAGATCCCTTCACTTATTCTCTTCTGTCCCTCAATTCCATTCTTTAAAGCTCCTTCTGCCTCTTCTTTATTCTTTAGCATATCAACTTCCAACTAGGAATATTCCTTTAAAAATATTTTAAAGTTTTGGTTCTGTATATATCATCATTTATACTACAATATTACTGAATAAAAAGAAAGTATAAGGGTACCCTTTGGTTTCCACTTCTATATCATCATCTACCCAAGTATAGGTCTGTGTAGCCAGAATTCCAGAAACATCCAATTCTTGAACATCATGGCTTGATGCAATTGCTATGCAGTTTCTATTTGCCTAAAAAATAAATCAGAGAGTAATTTTTAAATAAAAAAGCATATGCATATGGGCTACTTTTAGAAGTGTATACTACAAAATAGCCTCTAGAAATGATAACTTCAAGATATAGAATATATAGCATTCTCACAAACGGCTATTTTAAATTGATTTCAATAATTAAATCCTGAGTGTAATAACCCTTGGCTTGAGTTTAGAGAGATGTTTATGTTCTGAGAATTCAAGAACATTCTATGATAAGGCAAGAACTATAGTGGTAACACACACACCACTTTACTGCTTCTCCCAGCCCTGTCTCTCTAGTCTGCTAGAATGTTGCAATCTCTCTAAGGTTTGCAAATTCAGAAATGTGGAGGGACATGTTTGAGAACACAAAAACCCAGTAAGGTAGAGAAAAGTGAGGATGAGGAGGAACACCAAACTAAAGAAATAATGATGAATTATTCAAGTAAGATAGTAACACTTTCGTCTAAAGCTTTTCAATCTTGGACAAGAAAAACAGAATTTGGGAAAAGGTCACAAAGGAAAGGTATAAGGGTAGAAAAAGAGTGGATAAGTATGCCAGAAGAAATCATAAAGGAAAAATTTGTCAGATGAACAGAAAATGGAAAGATAGCGACAGCAAAGAGAAAACAAGCTTAATATTTCTAGGCTGCAAAATGCAAACACAAACTAGTAAGAAAAAACTAAGACTCCAGAGATAAATGGAAAAAGGATGTAACTAGGCTGAGGGGAGATAGTTCTCCATGGGTCTCTTTATTTCTGTGTTTTTTTCAATGAGTCACTGACTGCCCACTTTGTTCTGCAGTATTATTTCCAGGATGTGTATATACCTATAGTCTTCCCTCCAGATCAAAGGGTAAGTATGCTTACTGTCCATTAGAAAAGACTTCAGTTCCCAAAACTCAGTGTTCCTCCTCTATAATAGAATCTACCTTGTGTGCAGGTTTTACAAGGCACTCTCCCTGTCACTTTGTGGGAATTTTTGCTCAGGGAACCAAAATGCCAATATTCGACTGCATTTGCTATTACTAATAAACTGGCCTTTGTCTCTGGTCCAGAAGTCTTATGTCTTACAGCATCCACATTAAACTGTGAAATCTAACTTCTCAGCCTGAGTACAGAAGAAAACCTCAGACTTTTCACAGTTCTTGACACAGATAATTCACAAATAAACAAATGGGAAAAAGTTCAATGTCACTGGCATTTTTAAATAATGCAATTTAAAGCAAAGGGTATTATTTTTCATCTATAACTGATATCCATTGCAAGGCTATAAAAAAGAATCTGGAGAAAAGGAAATTGAACAGGTACTCTCTTACACAGTGAATGGCAGACCTTATATATATGTAGATTACTCAGGTAAGTCCAAAAAGAAGAAGAAATAATCTAGTTTGTTTTATAGCACAGAATATTTAAAATAATATTTTCTTCAAAGGAGGGAAGAAAATTGTTGGGTGTAGACAATAATTTTGCATTTGCATTGACATGTATCTACCATAATATATAGGTATTACAACATGAGACATGCCTGGCTGAGGGGCTGATTCTAAACTTGATTGTCTTGAACAGAACTAGTCATTGTTCAGAGGTGTCAATGAGGGAAATCAGATGAATGACACAGGGAAAGATGTGGACAGAATAACAAAGAAACTATCTAGGAGAAATCTAAGGAAAGACAAGACATAGCACAGGAAGATGGAGAACCATTGGTGAAATGATTACTGAAAGGGTAATTCCATAGGATATACATATAAGTAATGTTTAAAAATTATTTTAAAATCAGAAATATATATTTTATATATATATATAATCCTTTAAATTAATGGAAATAAAAGTAAGTAAGGGTAAATAGAAGTCACTATAAATTTTGCAGTAGGGCATTTAGGAAAGATAGAAGGGGAAAATGCTTAAGACAAATTTCAACCTTGGACCATTATACCTAAGGCTACATCTTCTGTGAGCAGCTTATAGATACCTCTAAAGAGGGTACTGAGCAGAAGGCTAAGGAATATAAAGAAAACACTGTAGCTGGACAGCTGTTGTAGCTGTATGTCAAAGAGGGAGAATTTCTATGAGTTACATATAAGCTTAAATTTCATCTAATATTAAGAACCACATTCAATGTATTCATATAAAGAAAACAAATCCTTTCCTTTGGATTAACTGTTATAATGCATTGTATATCTTCTAACAGCTACTGCATATATAAATATTTGATATCTCTCTGTCTAGTAATGAAACATTATTTTATCTGCTTTATATCAAAATCAATTGTTAAACAATATAATCATTTTATAAAATTAAAGAAATTCAGATTGCAATTTAAGGAGTGGGAAGTAACTTTGGGAAAGATATACCGATATGGAATAAACTGACAGAAAAGGAAACAGTCTTAACTATAAATATTTAATAATCAAAGAAAAGATAAATATCTTTGTACTTACTTTATTAACAGCAAAGGCAGTAATGATATCAGATTCCTTATGAATAATTCTTGCTTTACCTCCAGGATAACCCAAATCTGCTTCTATCTAAATGGAGAAAATGAAAATATAAAAATACTGATTTTAGTAATAGAAAAAAATAACATGTCAATCTGTTGTTTAATACTTACATAAATTATTTTGAGAAACTTTTTAGGTATTTCAAATCCAAAGGTACTATGTTCTGTGCTAATTATCACAAAAAATTTATGACAAGGGGAATTTAAATTTTTTTCAAACTTGTTTTTTCACATATGCAAAATAGTGATAAAAAAGCTGATATGACATACAACTTTATTAATGGCTTATGTTCCCAAGGTACAATGGATTAACTTTAAAAGATAAAGATATTCTAATTATTAAAGTAAGATCTGTTTACTATGTTCCATAGTATTATAATCCTTTGCTAATATTTTATATATATTAAAAGTTCAGTTGGTAAATATTTCAGGTTTGCAGACCATAGAGAGTCACTATTGCATATTCTTTTTTTTAAACAACCTTTTACAAATATAAAGACCATTATTAACTCACAGCCTACAGAAGAACAGGTTGGATGTGGCTAGCTGAATATAGTTTACTGGTTCCTAATCTAAAACAACTTTTAATTTATAGAAGAAAAACCTGAATCCTGAAAGGCACAGTAATTTGCCCAAGTAATTTGCCAAGTCTGTAATAAGCAACTGAACATACCATAATTTAATATACTTTAGATGAGAGAAACATGTTTCACCTTCTGCTTACCCCAGAGGTGTATATAACACCTTTGAACTCAGAGGAGAGTACTGTATAAAACCAACATTTACTAAAATAAACAGATGTAAAAAGAGGAAGCAATTAGTAAGAGCTGGAAATATTGCTTAATGTAGGATATTGTTTCATTTTATTTTATCCTCCCTAACCTTCAACCTCTAAAATGAGTTATGAAAGTTTCACAACTCATTGCAAAGTGCAAAAGTTATTAATTTGAAATTAGAATACAACAAATTTACTTCCTGCAAAATTCAGATAAAAATGTCACCAATGCCTATCTATTTTTGACCACAAAACTGAACAGGATTAGCAATATTTTTTTAAATGACTGCTCAATAGCAAAGTAGAAAGAGATTTGTAAGATAACCAAATCAAAATAACCCTATGCAAACAAAATTTAGTCACTGGACATACAGATATCAAATATATTCTAATCTAGAATGTAATTTGATTACAAATATAAAAGAATTTCAATGTTCACTAAACATTTTGGTTGAGTTGAGGATCAAATTCTTTTCTAAGGAGTCTTAGCTCTGGCTATAAGAGGCCCATCATCCAGTAAGAATATGTTAGGTCAAATTCCGTCATATTATGACAAAACCCCAATTTAGCTACTTTTCTGCCTGGTATCTAAAGAGTTCACTATTGGATTTGGAAGAAATTGGATATAGAGACAAATAATATTTCTATGTAATAGAGGGATGTGCTATTTGCTGATAATGGGTGGATGGATAGAAACATATCAGTGCCACCTGCAGAGTTTCTTCAAACTTTACATTTAAGGGAAGGAAAGCTCCTGCAGGCAAGAACTTCAAAACAGCTTTTTCAATATGGAGATACTTCCTGTCTTCTCATTATCTGGCTTTACTAAAGCATTGTTTCTTAATAATGTGGTCTCAAGATGACTGGCAAGAGAATCAACTGGAGGAGGAGGTGGAGGAATGGTGTTTAGTGTTTCAAAAGTTTATGCATATTTAATTTGAGAATAATTACAAAGGGTGGGAGATGAGATTGGAGAAACGGGCAGGGTTCAGTTGCACTGGGCCTTAAAAGCCACAAGAGAGTTCATATTTTATTTTAAAGCTAAGAAGCAATTACAGGATTTTGATAATTCTGGATAAGTTGGGGCAAAACACAAAGGGTGTGGGAATGGCTTCCAGGAAAGCAATTAAGAGGCTATTATAATAGCTGAAGTGAGAGGTTAATGGTGTATTTGATTAGGGCTGTAGGATTGGTGGTAGTCATAAGTGGTTGGAATTAGGACAGTTTTGCTAATGGACTGAAATCACAGTGTGAAGAAAAGAGAAAGCAAGGATGACTCCTAGTTTTCAGACCTGGTAACTGGATAAGTGAAAGTACCACTTACGGAGACAAAAGAGGAAGAAAAAGTAGGTTTGGGCTGGGACTAGGGAAAAACAGAAAATTTTGTGTAAGACTTTCAGCAGGAGATAACTATTATATTATATTATACATGCATGTCTGGAATTCAGGAAATGAGTGAAGGTAGAGAGAATTAAGTTATCAGCCCATGGATGATATATAAGCTTTGAGATAACCCTAAGAAAAAGTAAAGATAAAGAAGAGAAAAGGTTAGTTTTCTAAATCCTGGTGTACCCAGCATTTCAAGGACAGGCAAAGGAAGGGCCAATCTATGCATGGGAGGCGAGATACTGATGCTGAATAAACTGACAGAACAGTAGATATTCTTCAACTATGAATACCTAATAATTAAATGTGATGTTTTGGGAACCAAGTGAAGGAAGAATTTCAAGAAAGGGTCTGGAGTCAAGAATATCAAAGAATACTGAAAAGTTTAATTAAAAGAAGATGGAGAGTTGACTACTGAATTTAGCATACTGGAAGTCAATGGTGACCTTGACTACGACAATCTCAGTAGAACTGGCTGGAGATAATACCTAACTAGATTAGGGAGACTTGTAACATCAGGTGAATAGGGAGGGAAGTCCTTTAGGGAAGATTCACAAAAGCATTCAACCCAACTGATACTGTTCTATTTCTTAAACTGGGAGGTTCCTACATGTTGTTTGTGACATTACTCTTTAACTATTCTTAAATGACTTTTTAGACAAGTCTATAAATAAATTTTCCTAGATAGGGAATTAGAGAAATGGGATGGTAAATAGATTCAAAGATAGGGTTTTTTTTTGGTTTTCATTTGAAAGTAAGACAATAGAATATATTTGCTTATGTTGAAGAGAATAATCTAAGAGAGAGGTAAAAATTTATTGAGGAAAGAAGGGGGTAAACTACTGAAGCCAAGTGTTTGGGTGGGTAAGAGTGCACAAGTGGAAGATCTGGCCTTGGATAAAAGAATGACAGTTCATCTACTGTCAGAGAAGCAGAGCAAAATATCTGCATATACAGCAGAAGTTAGATTTATTGATGGAAAGATTAGACTAAGTCTACTGACTGTACTTATTTTGACAGCAAAACACAGTCATCTTTGGGAAGTAGTAAAGAAATACTGGAAGTCTTAGGAAAAAGGAAACAAGTGGGAAGAATGGAAAAACCAATTAGCTATAAAGTAATTTATTATGATTGTGGGGTCCTTTAATTTGGGAGCTGTGATTATACACTTTAAGTAAGACAAACCCCCATGGTTTGTGTTTTTTCTTCATCCATGTTCAGTGATTTGGCTACAAACACAGAATAGACAGAGAGTTGGGTTTAAACAGGTATGGAAATTTTCAAGGCAAACGCAGCGTAGAGAAAACAGAGAAAAAAAAAAAGGCTGAGGATTTGATCATAATGATGGATCACAGAATCTAAGCTGGGAAAGGAAGTGGGGACACAATATGGCCAGTTAAGAACAGCATGTGCTAATAAACATAACTTACTTTGCTAAAGGCCACACAACATAGAGTCACAGAAAAAAAATCACAGTAAGTATAGCCTTAAATGTCTTTTTAATTTTAGGATTCAAGAAATTTTCATAAAATTTGATTTGGCTAGATATATGAGGTAGTAAGAATCCCATTGCTGCTAAAAGAGATTTTTAGAGATTATGCACATGGAAAAACTAAACAGAATTACCATGTAATCCAGCAACTCCACTTCTGGGTAATATATCCAAAAGGACCAAAAAGCAAACTTGAACAGATATTTGTATACCAATGTTCACATCAGCACAATTCACGACAGCCAAAAGATGGAAACAACCCAACTGTCCATAGACAGATGAATGGATGAACAAAATGTGTTAAGTATACATAATGGAATATTATGTAACCTAAAAAGGGAGGAAATTCTGATGCATGCTACAACATGGATGAACCTAAAGATGTTATGCTAAGTGAAAAATTCCTAGTTACAAAAGGACAAATATTGTACAATTCCTTTTATATACGTATCTTGGGTAGTAAAATTCATAGAGACTGAATAATAATAGTAGTTGTCTGGGGATGGAAGTATGGGGAAAATGGAGAGCTACTGCTTAATGAGTACAGAGTTTCAGTTTGCATAGATGAAAAAGTTCTGGAGATGGATAGTGATGATAGCTGAACAACAATGTAAATGTACTTAATGTCACTGAACTATACACTTAAAATGACTTAAATGATAAATATTATATGTATGTTTTTCCATAATTTTAGAAAAAGGAATTTTATGCAGAAACTGATCTGAATAGTGGTTGGGTTCCACAAAGCTTCCCTTAGGAACTGGAAAAGAAGGGAATAGGTCTAACAGACTAACTACAAGAGTCTACTACTATTTCAGTTAGAGAAGCAGCATGTTTAAAACTATCAACCTTAATCTACAATTACATGAGGAACATTATGTTTACTAGACTCCCCCCATTACCAAGTCCCCCCCACATACCCCAATACAGTCACTGTCCATCAGCATAGTAAAATACTATAGAATCACTAGTTGTCTTCTCTGTGTTGTACAACCCTCCCCGTGCCCACCCCCCTACATTATCTCTGCTAATAGTAATGCCCCTTTTTTCTTTTTCCCCTTATCCCTCCCTTCCCATCCATATTCTCCCCAATCCCTTTCCATTTGGTAACTGTTAGTCCATTCTTGGGTTCTGTGATTCTGCTGCTGTTTTGTTCCTTCAGTTTTTTTCTTTGTTCTTATACTTCACAGATGAGTGAAATCATTTGATACTTGTCTTTTTCCGCCTGGCTTATTTCACTGAGCATAATACCCTCTAGCTCCATCCATGTTGTTACAAATGGTAGGATTTGTTTTCTTCTTATGGCTGAATAATAATCCACTGTCTATATGTACCACATCTTCTTTATCCATTCATCTACTGATGGACACTTGGG